CCTCTGCTGAGGCTGGGAGGAAGAGCTTCCTGGGAAAGAAGAGTTGTGTTGCCCACACTGCAGGAGTGGGCAGAGCAAAGGAAGCTGGAGGGTTGAAGTTTCCCCTTCTTGATGGGGCAGATCTATAATGCTGTTTCCTGGTCCAAGATCAAGGTGACTGCCTCTCAAATGAGTTTATGTACTCGGAGAAGAGAGAATATTTGAAGTTGATGCTTTTCGGAAACTCCAAGATATGTAGCCGCTGTAGATAAAAGCCATTTGGTTACTTGAAATATTAGACATCTTTTTTGGTTTTCTGCAGCTGTGTGGTAACTTCTTTCACTTTTGAAGTGTGAGCGTATCACCCCATTGTCTTCCTGAATGCATTATACTCTATGGCCAGTAATTTTCTCTAGAGTGGAGTTAGAATTGTGGTCCAGGGTGATTCCAGGCAAGCTGGAGATTGACTTTCTCATGCTGGGGTAGAGCAGAGGGCCTGGTGGTTGGACGGTATCAAGGGTGGTGGGTAATGTCAAGGTTACAAGGGAAGTGAGAGAGTAACTGCCCTGTAGGGTTGTCTGTGTGGAGCATTGGGAGGGCCTGGGAGAGGCAAGGCACAGAGTAAGCAGGGCGGGAAATGTCAGTCTTTCTGCCTAGAAATTCCATTCTGGCTCTGCTCCCCATTGATGAGAAGCCACCAGTCCCCAAACAGCCCTCAGAATGACAGAACTTTGAGACATTTATATTTAACAACCTCGGGTCTCATGTTTTAACTAGCAAAGTAAATAATCAACATCACTCTGCTGCTCCATGATGGCCAGGAATTATTCACAGGAGCAGCAACCCACTGAGAGATGTCCTTCTCTAAAGTCCCAGAAGATGTCCCCCTAATAGCTCTTCGCACTCCTGCTACTTAAGGGGTGAGGTGTTGTGGTAGGGACGAGAGATGTCTCAGATCTCCACGACAGTGGCAGTCCTTCCAATTACGAGCAGGTTTTTATTTTAGAAGGGAAAGCTTGCCAGGAATGACGCTCTTCCCATCCCCGATGGTGGCGCAGATTGGCACGGAATGAACAGAAAGGGCTGGAGGCTGCACGGTCTCTGCTTATTCTCCATAAGGAACGGGGTGGGCGGGGCGGGATGGGGGGACAACCCAGGAACTGAATGTCTTTGGGAACTCCAGTTCTGTGGTCACGCCTGACCTTGTCACCGTCCACAGTTGTTCTTCTGTGAACATCTTGCCTCCCCCATCCCACTCCGAATGAACTCAAAATCTGGATCTCCTGTCCTGCCCCGACATGTTGCCTCCCATTCATCCTCTCCTCTTTGCATTTTCCTTTATCTCCCTCCAACATAGACCCCATGAGCAGACCTCTCCAGGTTGTCAGTACCCCAGATTGTTTTGTGTTTCTCCATCTCCTAGCCCCGTAAATGCCTGAGTCTGGCTTCTCCGCACCTGGGCCCAGCTGCGAAGCCCTGGATAACCATCCATTTGCGGTCCTGGGGCTCGTGGGGCTGCCTAGGATTCTTTCTCTCTCTCAATCTGGCAGCGCCCTCTTTCACTTCTCTCAGCGACTTTTCCAGTTCTCCACTGTTTCCCTCAAAGCTGCTGTTATCACCTCTCACCCACTCTCAAGAGATGACTTTGCTTCTCACTTTAGAGCTAAAAAATAGAAGCCAACAGGCAGGAATTTCCTCAACTTCCCGTCCTTGACCTGTGAATGAACCCACACCCATACCCTTTCTCTCTGCATCCACCTCCTCTTGGTATCAGAGCAGACCCTCTTCCTGCCTCTGGCGACTCCCCTGTCCCCGGTAGTCTCCTGGCCAGCCTCTTCACTCTCTTATCTTAGCTCTTCTCCTAGGGAGCCTCTGCATTTCCAGCTCTACTTGCACCTCTTTGGTCCGTGACCCCAGTGATCTTCTCATTTCCAAATCCCAAGGTCTACTGCTCAGGCCTGTCTAAACTTGGCCCTTCTGAAGCATGTGTTGCTGTTGACCACTCCTTTCTTCTCCAATCTATTCTCCTTTGGTGACAACACTCTTACTTGTTTTTTGTTTTTTACCACCTTTCTGGTTTCTGACCACCGCTAAACATTACTGGGGTTCTCCAGAGGTCGTAAGTGCCTATTCTGTGCCCCAGAGCTCCTCGGGTCTCGGAGGGCTTACTTTTGTGGAAGCCTTTACTGGGCTGTCAACTTGTTGGTCTTTCTCTACTAGATCTAATGCCTGAAACTCACCATGTTTACACTTCAGTAACAAGTAACTTCATCTCCATCCCTCCTACTTACCACACCACCTGGTACTCACTCAGTTCTCAGTGATTGTTCATTAATGGTGCAGCTTGTCGCACAATGTCATCTTCACATTTTTCAGATGTACAGGTAAATAAACTTTTTTTTGTTTTTAGATACTTTGTAACCATTTCTCCCTCCAAAAGTGCAATGCAGTATCAAAAAGCTGAATTAAAAAGCTAGGAATATTTTTTGGTTTAGAGTTTCATGAGAAAAATAGGGATTACCTTGAAATGTTGTACTCAGGAATAATGCAAGTGTACCAGAACTTATGCTGGTTTAAGCTGGAGCCTGGCTTGTGGGAGAGACTGGGGTGATGGTTGGGAGAAAGGGGGGTCAAATGCCAGAGTAATAACTTGGGCTTGCATTTCTATGACTTCTACCTCTACTGCAGGTGGAACAATTTAGTTCACTTTGTACATGCTGTTCACATAGAGCAGCTATTTGGGGGACGAAGTAAGAAATCTTGTTCAATGCCTGAATTTAGCATCATAATCCCTGACCTTTGTCATATGTCACTATAATGAGTCACTGATGCCAAGCTGTAAAATTGCTGTTTCCATTTGTAAGTTCAAAGTATATATATATATTCATATATATTTTCTTTATTTGATTTTAGTTTCATGCCTGACCAAGGTGGCAGAATTGTTATTATCCCATTTTATAGACGAACAGTCTCAGGCTCAAAGAGATTTAATTATATAACTTGCTCAAGGTGGAACAGTGATAAATTACAGCAATGGAGCTTCCATTTCAAGACAGTGCTCCCGTATTACACTGTCTTTTGATGAAGATTGGTGATAGTTGCTTCTTTTGCTTTTTGAAGTTATGTGTCCTGTTTCTAGTAGCAAGAAAGGGCCTTGTGACAGGTGCTGGAGCAGAGCAGTTAGGGGAAACCTGGTCTTTATGGTCATTAATGCTGGCTCTTTAGCTGGTCTGTGATCTTGGACACATCCCTATCCTCTGTGAACTTTGGCTTCTGCATCTGTAAAGTGGAGAAAAATAACAATCACACCTACCACACAGGGTATTATAAGGTTTCAATGGATAAATACATACAAAGGCCTTGACATAGTATCTTGGGCATAGAAACCTCTTAATTGGCACGCTATGTTAATGTTACATCTTCATTTATTTTTCAAAGCATCCGAATTCCTCAGTTACAAAAAGAAGGACTCTTTCTAAGTATTCATTATTGGATCTTATTGGCTTCTAGTTTGAGGTGAGGTTCATGGTGTATGAATTAATCTAATAATTATGTAGGGCTTGGCACAGGCACTCTGAGAAGCACACTGCCAGCTTCCAAGGACCCTTGCTGTGGTGTAGCCTCAGGGCCCATGCCTACCCCTCCTCCTGAGGTGGGGATTTTAAGATGTGGCTGAACAGAGTCTTGGGCTCTTTCTCCATTGACAATTGCCCTTGATGCGTACTTCCAGATATTCAAGACTGGAGCCCTCTTCTGCTGAGACAAGAGTTCCTCTGCTTTTGGGAAAGGCCAAGGGCTTGCAAGTGGTGATCCCCACACAATGTCCTGGCAAGGCTGACCAGTGTGTGTGGAGCTGTCCCTGGTAAACACAGCACCCACTAGATATCACAGCAAAAAATGGGTTGTTGTATGAAGCCATTCATTCCTTGTAGAAGGGGCTGGGTGGAAGGGGACTGACCTTGAAGTTGAGGTCAGTGACTTCTGGGCCAGGTGTGTGTCTGGAACACCAGGAAGTGGGGAGAGGTGTGGCTGGCAGGGTGAGCAGAGCTTGATGGCATTGGAATGAAGCTCCAGAGGGCAAGGCACACTCCTGGGATTATGACTGGGCCTGGTAATGGCGATGGGGAAGGGTGTGTTTGCCATTAAGGTATTGAAGCATTGTTTCACAAGTTAGAGAACAAGGCTGGCTTTTTGCTCCATCCTAGCCTTTCAAACTCAGTTCTTAGCATGACCCACTCAGGGAACTGTTCTGAATTTCTCAGTAGGTGACCTCCTGCCCAACTAGCAAGTCTCTCGACCATATTAGTTATTTTGAGAATAAAAAAGAGTTGAGCTTTATTTTTGGCAGTTGAATTTGAATTTCGTTACTATGATGGACTTGAAATATGTACCCGTGTGGCTCTTGCACCACGTACGTCAGAATCACTGTAGGGGAGAGGTGTTGAAAAATGCACATTTCCCCAGTCCCACTGCACAAACAGAGAATTAGACACTCTCGGGCGGGACCCAGGGATCTGCTCTTTAAAATATTCCAGGGTGAGGCTGAGGATGTTCTTTTGAAAGCCAATGTCTGGGATCGGACGGGGATAGATGTGTCTGACGGCCTTGTAAAACTCAAATCTGAGTGAATTCGCCCAGCTGCAGACCCCTGGTTTTCCGCGCCTCAGTTTCTTCCTCTGGCAGGACGTGGTTCTGTCTCTACTTGTTGCTAGGCTGCAGGACAAGGAAATAAGTGCAAAGAGCTGTGGAAAGCTGTGGAGCAAGGTTGGGAGAGAAGAGCAGGTCTCTTCTCACCGGCTCCCCCAGGTGACCCTGCCAGCCACCTCTCTCCCCCAGCTCTGGAGGCGGTGGCTCCTTTAACAGGCCCGACCAATCGCCCGCCCATTTCCGCAGCCGGTCCTCAGTACGCAGGTAGGGGCTGGATTGGCTGGGCCTGGCGTGCAGCCTGCTCCGCCCCCACCGCTCTGTGGTTGGCGGCGGCTGCCGGCTGCCGCGAGCGCGGGGCGGTCCGCTGGCGGGGCGGGGCGGCCCGCGCCCGGGATAGGGCAGGCGGCGGGACGGCAGCTGGAGCCTGAGCCGGAGCCACAGCAGCCACGGAGTATGGAGGCCGGCGCAGTACAATGAGGCAGCCAGCGGATCCGGGGTGAGCGCGCCAGAGCCGGGCGACCTATAGAGGGAGAGCCCGCGGAGAAGGCCCGGGCAGGTGGTGGTCCGACCCCCGCCGGCTCCAGGGTACGCTCTGGAGACAGCGGCCGTTGGCGCTGCGGGGCGCAGGAGTAGGGGGTTGGGGGTGGGGAGGGCTTTGGGGGGGACCCAAGGCCCTGCCCTGCTGTCAAGGCTCGGGGGTTGACACGGACGCCCACTCGCGACATGCCTCCCCGACCCTTCCTTCCTTTGGGGCAGTGTGGGATGGTTTGGGCTTGACCCTGGCCAGAGGTACTGGCCCTCCAGTCCTCCTAGCTGCAGTCCGCAGGCTCCCTGCTTGGGGCTCCGGGCTCGCTGGGCCAGGGAGAATCGTCTGCACGCAGAGTAGGAATACAGCCTGTAATTTTATGAATGGGGCCCCGGGTTCCTGTCGCCCCCTTGCCCAACGTCGCGAAATGTTTGGAAGTCGAACACTGCAGTTACTTTTACGCGGATCTGTCAGAGGCTGTTGGCGCCTAGGGTTGTTTTTCTCCAACTCCTGGAAATCGCGGGTGGCCGTGGGGTGGTTTGCATGCCTTAGACATGAGAGGGCGGCATGCCGAAAGACGGGGATCGGAAGGTTAACAAGTGACATTGGGCCGAGGCCTAATGCCAGGTGTCCTGCCCCGGAGCCCGAGTGTGACGGTAGAGGCTATGTCTGCTGGTGAGCACACACGCAGGAAACGGTGGGAGCGGGAGAAGGAGTGAACAGCCAACTTAAGTTCCACCGCGCAGGCTGCCCAGATAACACGGCTGACGTGGGAGTTGGTGCAGGGGAGTTTCCCCTTTTGAAAAAGGTTTTTGGAAAACTTAGCTCCTCGGTGGGTTGATGGTTACTACATCGGTTGTTATGGGCTGTGGGTACCGGGCATCAAATGAAAAGGCAAAGTCTGCTTCCACCCTCGCTCTGTTTTTAAAAGCTATGAAGTACTTTGTAACTACATTTTATAGACACTGCACAGAGAGGACATGCTCTTTTAGAGTTGAAGGAACAGCGTGGGCACCACGAAGGCAGGGGTGGTGCCATAGTTATCTTTGAAGTCCCAGGCCTTGACACCATGGCTGCTCTGCACAAGAATTGAAAGTTACCAGCCTCTTGCATGTTTTAATGATTTTCATCAAAGGACTTACAGAAGCCAGATGTAAGCTGGAAGGTAAACCATGAGTGTTTTTTTGTATGGAAACCAGTAAGAAAAAAATGGAGAGGCAAATAAATGATCCTTGAGCTCTGGGTTTAGGGAGTGTCTGAGGAGCCTAGGTGTGCGGATTCAGAGCTCGAGGACACAGTGAAGCTTATCTCATAGGAGTATTAGAAGAGTGGAACTGCCATTCCTATTAGCTCTTCCCCAGCCCTCAAACTACTTTAGTATTCTTTCACATTCTTCCAAAAGTTGGTAGTAGGTCCAAACTTACAGATAGCAAGTAAGCCTCCTGAAGTGATGGGGAGGGAGTGGGATTTTTGCCATATAGTCTTTTCCTTTCACGGGAGCTTCTCTGGGAGTGTCACTGAAGGCTGAAGCAGGGGTGTGGAGGGGCTCAGGGTGAACTCAGCTTGTCGGCAGGACAGTTTATCTCCAGGAAAAGGTTCTGTGTCTGAGAGGAGGGAGATTAACAAACTGATTCAGATCAGAAGGTGGTGGTAATGAGACAACTGGCAAGTAACCCAAGGGCATGGACAGATGAGAGGGAAGGGAAAGTTCACGAGTTTGGTTGGGTGGAGTGTGCTGGGCCTTGTTGAGGTTCCAAGAAGAAGTAGAAGGCCCTTGTGTGAGAGGAGTGGAGACATAGCATGCACCATGTGTATTTGTTTGTTAGCGGTTATGTTTTAGATTGTGTCTGGAGGAGAAGCAGGAAAGACTAGGCTTTAGGTAGAATAAATGTATAGGGTGTTTTAGAATTTTGGTCAAAAAGAAATTGTTTGAGGTCAAAAATATTCAACTAATTATTATTGAGAGTCAGGTGTGTGCCCAAAATTGCAAGGCATTGTGGGTTTGATGGAGGGAAGGGAAAAAAAAACAACCAAAAACGGGTTAAGAGTTTGTTTCTATAGCCATATGATTCACCTGCCCTCCAAGTCAAAAGCTATCATCTTCTGAAGCTCTTGAGGAAAGAAAGGGGAGAAATACATAGAATATTACTTAACATAAGAACAAAACAGAGCAATAGGGAAATTCTTCTAGCTGTAGGTCAAGAATCAAACTGAATCTTCAAAGACTGGTTTTTCTGTCAGGTTTGGTATATGACTGTCTTCATTCTTGTATGTATTGATCAGTATCGTTTGATGTGTTAAATTCCTGATCTTTTTTTTTTACCCCCTTTCCACTAGTAATTCATTTACTCAAAAGTTTGGAAGTTCATTAAACAAATAGTGTTTGTCCTCCAGATGCTTCCAGTTCATTCTTTGCCAGAGTATCCCTCAGGGTCTACTTTCTTCTGTCTAATCCTCCTTCTCTCCTGAGGGTCCCTCTTGGGAATTGTTGAAGTCACAGGGAATATTTGTTCTTTGATTCTGTCCCAAAGCAGAAGCAGAAGGTGGCTAGTTTATGTAATTTTCATTTATTTATTTATTATTTAGAGAAGAAGAGGGAGAGAGAAGGGGAAGCAGGGGGAGGAAGAAAGAAAGAGAGAGAGAGAGAGAGAGAGAGACATTGATTTGCTCTTCTACTTATTTATGCATTCATTGGTTTTTTCTTGTATGTGCCCTGACCTGGGATTGAATCTGCAGCCTTGACTAATTGGGTCAACACTGTAATCAACTGAGCTACCTGCCCAGGGCCAGATGGTGGCTAGTTTAAAAAAGAGAACATTTGTTGAAGTTCAACTTTGCTAGGTACTACTGCTTTCTACACACACACACTCTCTCTCTCTCTCTCACAAGGTCCAGCACCAATAATACCGTTTTTTAATTACAAAATCATAAGCATGTAATTCTGTAACATAACTATCACACCTGAGCACAACATATGACATTTTAGGTGAAATGTTCAAATTGCTGCCTCATGTGAGACATTCTCATACCCCACCAACCACACTCAAGCAAGCCTGCCTTCTGCCAGAGCCTGTCTGTCTCCCCTCCAGCCCTCGAGCATCCCACTAATGGAGCGAGCCTCATTTTATAGAACAGGAAACTGAGGCTCAGAGTAGTTCATTAACTTGCCCAAGGTGATTAACTGGTTAGACAGTGGAGCAAGAATGTCAATCTGGGACTTGATGATTACAAAACATGCTTTTAATATTAGACCATGCTTTTTTTCCCAGAAGAGGAACAGCGGTTTATTCAAGATAGTCTTTCGACACGTGAAAGATCAGGTGCAGAGATGTTTGGAGAATTGCTGCAGTTAATGTGCTTATGGTAGAGCAAGAATTAGCACCCCATGTCCTGCCACTCCACCTGGTGCATTTATGGGTGATTCATGTAGCCATGGGGAAATTTGAGTTTACTGTTGTGAAAGGGTGATCAGATTTACCAGGCCTCTATCCAAATGCTTCCATTTACAAGCATGGTAACGTTGGGCAAATTATTTTCTCTCTGCATCATTTTCTTTAGGTGGGACAGTATTCACATTTCAACAATGTTAAGACAGTACAATTTGTCTCATCTTAACATTTCTGAAAAAAAGTGTCTTATAATCTATGGGGTCTTACAGTTGTAGTTGTCAGATGAACTACGGTAATTCATCTAATTCTTTATATCTAGTTGTGGGGATTTCATGAAGTCACTCATGTGTCTGGCACATAAGAAGCACCTAGTAACAGCTGATGCTGTGGAATGACGGAACAGAAGGTTAAGTGGCAGGTGGCTCTGGGGAGCATCTCGTAAAGTTTGCCACTCAGAGCTCAGGCAGTAATCCCTGATCTGTGGGTCAGAGGCACATTTTTCGAATTTGCTTGGAGTTCTATCCTTTGGCTGACTCTTGTCCCCGTGAGAAGCATTAACTTCAGGAGCTAATGAGCCATGGACGGACGGCTCCCTTTGTCCTGCTTTATTTGCTGAGGTCTTTGTCAACTTTAAATCCCAAGATAAAAATAAATATCGTTGTAAGAAGATTGGAAACCTACACTGATGTGAATACTCTTACATGTGAATTTTAAAGCACCTCAAGGTTATATACAGAATTCTGTGTTGCATCTTTCTAAACTGCTTAATTGCATTGCATGAAATGTCCATGAGACATTAATCAGAAGGATGCCAGGAGGTCATGAAAGTACAGAAGCCCTTGACTGGCCTTGGGTGAGATAGAAAGAGCACTGGAGTTGGCATCAAGAGGTGCCTAGGGGTTTCACCTGTTATCCTGTTTATGCCGGGGGTTTATCCTGTTATGTAGGTTCTTGGGCACATCGTTTCACCACTCTGGGTCTCGAGGGTCTCTTTTCCGAAATGAGGACTAGAGTCCCCTCCCCTCGCTCTCTCCAACACAGTGTCATAGATTTTATGTGAACTTAATGAATCTAAGGATATGAGAAATTAAATGGATGAAAGTAGATCATTCAGTATTCCCAAAGTCTCAGTTGGATGTTTGCGATAATGCTTTGTAAAGCAAAATAACAGTAGGCAGGTGGTAACAATATGAGTTAGCTATCATTTTTGGAGAATTGCTTCATGCCAGGCACTGCTTCTACTTTTAAACCTCCCATTCCCCTATGAGTAGTAGATAGTATTACCAATCTTATTTTAAGATGAGGAAGCAGATTCAGAGAAGTCAATTAACTTGTCCAAGATCACAGAGCAAGGACAAGGGCTTTTAGGTGCATTGCATACCTCAGGCTTATTTATGTTGCTCCCCAGTATGAGTTCTATGGCTATTTCAGGTAGACCCTGCCTCATCTTGGAATCCTCTCAAACCATGCACCCTGCAAGTTTCCCCAGTTTAAAAAGGAAGAGTCTCGCTGTTTTGAGGTCACAAATTCCTAACCTTTTATTATGTACTGACACCTGTTTGAATTCTGAGTTCTCAAGGA